ATATATATATATATATATATATATATATATATATATATATATCTTATTTCCTCTCACATTCTTCCTGGTGTGGGATGCTATTTAGTTCTGAAATCATGTTGTGACTATAAATAATACTGAATTCCCAAGAAGAGAATGAGGAAAGCAAGCCCTGAGGGTGCTTTGGGGGCATTCCACGGGTCAAAGTGATTTAAAATGGTCAGAATTCATTAAAAACATGTCCACAGCTTTCTAAACTAACAAGAAAACACTAAACAGGAACTAAGTGGCTCATTTCATGAGTGGGAAACAGTGTTTTAATCCTTTTCAAATATGTAAGTACTAAACTTTGTAACTCTAACCAATCCCCAACCTAAATACCAAGTACCAAACTTTGTAACTCTAACCGATCCCCACCCTAAACACAAACTTAGCCAAAGAGAAGGCTTCTCTAGCCCTTCTACTCCATCTGAAACATCTTTAGCTATCACACTTCACATGACTGAAATGTGCCAGTAAGTGAGAAAGGAACCGGAGATATCCTGAAAATTGACTTCCAAGGCCGAATGAATCCTCTCACTTTTTGTTTTCTCTGTTCCAATTTCTCAGTCAAGTCAATAAATATACTAAGCATGAGTATGGGTCAAGGCATGCAGAATTTAACCTGCCATGGAAGTTTCTTTAAATTCATTCCAGAGTCTCAAGATGATCGTGATGTCAGATCAAGATGCTCTGAAACAATTAACAAAGGTGGCCCAGTAGAGGTCCCAAGTGGCCGGCTGAAAATGAGATTGTCCTTTCCTATCCAGAGCAGTGGTGTTGAGCAGGTAGAGGGTCACCAGCCGGCTGGCTTCTGGATAGGGGTCCCTGTCAGGGGCTGTAGGCTGCAAAGTCTCTTGCAGGAGCGTAGGGCTGGTAATGCTTGCGCGTGGGCCCAAGTCTCCTCGGTGTCATGTTCATGTAGTCACTCTGAAGGAGTCTGTTCCTTTTGCTATTTTTCTGCAGGGGGACAAAAAAAGTCAATATGGAAGGACTTAAAGAAGATATTATGTGAGGGGTCCTAAGACTTTGGGGTTAGTTATTCAGAACATCAGCTGCCAAATGACCCTGAGACACAGTATTGTGTATATGCTTTGGACTGTGATAATGACTAAGCCAAGACTGGATACCAGTCTACTAAAAATCGACAGGAAGCTGTTTTATAGAAATGGGTCCATTACTCTGAACATTTTCATCTAATTCAAAGCTCAAGAGCATATTTAAGAACATATTCGCCATTGATATTTAAACCTATTTGAAAGCCCTTCCTTTTTTGGATAAGTTAAGTATTCCCACTTTAATCATTCATTAAGTAAATTGCTTTTCCATAATTAACAAAAAATCCTTTCAGTTCTCTCAGGATCTGAAATAATAATTATAAATTTATGTCAGTAGAGGCCAAATAAATAAGGGTTTCCAGTTCTGGTTCTGAATACTACATTCCTATTCCCTATATGTACATATTTCTACAAGGCAATAATGTCACCCACCACTGTTCCCCAGGCTTAGCAACATCTAGATGAAACTCTACCAGGAGCAGAGAAATAGGAATGACACTGAAGCTAGAGCTAGAGATAACACTTTGAATTTTGACCAAGTTTTTGACTGGGGATTAGGAGCATCATTGCTGATCAATGTGATGGTAATGTTTTCATTTTGACAAAAGACTCAAAGCTGTCAAAAGGAGAAAGCCATGTGGATTGTCTATTATGAAATTCTATTAGGGATTCTCTACTATAAAAAGACAATGCTATTTCTAAGCACATAGGCCCAATACACTGGGCATGAGTAACAACCTTTCCTGAATAGATAAATGAGAGTTATTATAGTCTTGGCCTCCTTTCTACACCCAGAGGCTTCGGGTAAGGAAAGAATGCTACTGATGCTGCCCAGGTAGGCATTTTCAGCACTGATGCTAACATTTAGGGTTACCCTTCCAGCCCCCAAATGCTAATCCTTGCCTGTGAAACTATAACTTAAAGAAAGGCCTCAATAATAATTTTTAAAAAGGTGTCATGACTCTGAGGTTCTCCAAATTACACACAAAGATAAAGAAAATCTGCTGTTACAATCAGCTCCCATGCTTACCCCAATGCCATTATCAGATAGAGGGTTTAGCTTGCATCACCCTGACTCTAAACTAATGAGATATAAATGGCTGCGAATCCAATCCAGAACCCACAGTGCTCATGTACACCCACAATATGTATCTATGTATGCATAGAGTTCCCACCTCCCGTGTCTATGTATCTGTATCACTTGTGACATCGGGGCCACTCTACTTTTGCCCTTCTTCCTATCTCTGCCTTACCAACTTGTTTCCGAGACAAGGGCATACAAAAACAATGTACTTAAATGGTCAAGAATGGAGTAGATTCCAAGGCAGATGTTACCTAAACACACATTATCCACTCATTGTGAACCACATTGGCAATGAACACATTAAAAACAAAACAAACAAACAAAACCCTCCTCTAAGCTCACAAAGGGAAGCAGTTTAACAGCTCATCTGAGTGAATAAAGAATTGAGGCAGCCTGAGAAGTGTTTTCTGTACTCAAATGCCAACAGCAGGTCAAGCACAGATACAGAATCTCTAGCTGTTCCTAGGAACCCACACAGCCTAGTAGCACGTCACAGGTTCTCAGAAAGATCTGGAAAACAGTTGACTTCTACCAAGGCACACTGCTGACCAGCCAAAAATAGGATTCCAGAAAGTGATTAAGCCCTAGATGCCTCACTCACCAAGTTCCTTATTGGTCAAAAGCAGAAAGAGGAAAAGATGAGCCCAAGGTAAAACTGTTATATTGTTCTGTGAAAAGTAAATTATTTTTATGTGCTACATTTGGTCAGAGTACAAAGACCTGGGTTTGAGGTCCAAATAAGTGATATTTTTGTTAGATGATTTGGTTTGACTCCCAAAAGCCATAGATGACAAGACACATCAAGCACTAAGACTGTCCAAGTCACAGTGACCTTGTGAGATAAGCCAAAAACAGCTCTCTCAAGGCAAAGATGAATCTTACCAGGAATTATGGGGCTGCCAAAGAAAAGCTCAGAACATCTCTGATGCCTGTTTTGAAAGGTGAATTGTTTTAACTCATTGAAAGTGAGAAGCTGTTTTTATCATTTTAGGTGATTCCAGTCACTTGGCAAATTACTGTCTAATTTCAGAAGCTGGCTTCCTAATGCATATTTACCATAAGTTTTAAAGTGGTTTCTGTGGGACCATTGAAAGCTAAAGCAGTTTCCAAAACTACTTCCCTCGAAGCTAGTAAGCTCCTTTGACCTAGGTCAACATATGACAAGGAAGTCCCTTTCCTGGAAGAGTTCCCACAAGGCCACTGCACCTGGCCTTTAGATTAGGAAACTGAACTTCTCACAGACTTGGGAAGCCACATAGCAAGCAAGAAAACCAGCAACCACCATAGAGCAGCAAGATAGCAAGAATGTACACTCCAAAGTCCAAAAGAAAGAAAGCTCTTAACTAGTACCAGAGGTAGAACTTGGGCACTATTTTCCTATGATAAAACTTCCTGTCACCATATCATCATTGGACAACTTGTAGAAGCCAAGTTAGGCAGATACAAAAGATGATAGAATTCCCAGGAAAAAGCAAACACTATCTTCCCTTCTGTGTAGAAGTTATAGATTAGTCAAAAGGTAGCCTGACAAACATCTACCTGCTCCCTACGGTCTTGTGAACTATAGGAATATGTGGGGAATAGCAGAGAGGCAATTTTGGATAAGAAAATAAACAATTTAAATCTAAGGCTGGATGATAAAACTTCAAAACTGAGGCTGCCCTGTCCCCATACCAACACTATATAGTAAAAGTAAGATGACATCACACAGCCTGACTTCCAGAAGTCCCTGACTGTGCATTGCTTAGTGAAATATATAGATTGTGCCTTGGAATGGGTATCATATTTCAAGCAGGCTTAGTTAGGTCTTTATTTGGTTTCCATGAGGGTGACCTATTTGGTAATCCAATAAGCACCCACTTACTAGCAAATGGGTGAGAATAACAAGAGAAATGCTCTTTTCCCCTTGCACACAGCATACATTTCTCATTGAAGAAATTACTTATTTACATATTCACCCAACTTGTGGAAAAAATTCAGAAGCATGTGAAATCAGTTCACGAGCTGTTCTGTTTCTTGTGCGCAAAGAGGTTTCTAAGAAAATGATCCTTGCTATGGTGGTCCCTTCTTAACAGTGAATGTATTCATCAAAATGTGTTCAAAAGAGGGTGGCCTCTCTTTCAGAGGACCCAGTTTCAATTCCCAACACCCACATGGCGGCTCACAAATATGTGCAACTCCTATTTCAAGAAATCTGATGCCCTCTTTTGGCTTCCCTAGACACCAGACATGCAAATGCTGCACAGACATAAACACAGGCAAAACACTCATCGCACAAAGTAAAATTTTAAATGTGTTCAGAAGCCAGACGGGGTAGCACACACCTGTAATTCCAGCACTTGAAAGGCTGAGACAGGAGGATCACTATGAGTCAAGGCCCGTCTCAATTGTATAGCAAGTTCCAGGCCAACCTGGGCCACTAGTGAGACGTTGTCTCAGAAAAATCAATCAAACAAACAAACAAAAAGTGTTCAAGCTTGGATCAAAAACTTAGCATTGAGAAAGGTGAAAATATGTATACTAAGCTTATTGCAGAATCATCCCCAGAGGCTGGTAAGTTCTGTTCAGTGGGAGATCTCCCAACAGTCTCCCTCCCTTTATGCTTTCATAATGGCAGCACCATACCTGGCCTCACACAATACAACTGCTTCAGAAGAGACAGAAAATAGAACTGACATAAACAGACCTGTTTTCTTCTGGTTTGAATACACATTTCCAGCAGCCTACTGTCTCTTGATTTTTGACCCTGAGCCAAAGCTGTTCATTGGCTTCAGTTGCCTAGTTTCCTGATGGGGCTTAGATTTTTATACAATATGTATGCATCTATATGCTTTAAATGCAATTATTATGCATTTAAATGTTGCAAAAACAAGGATAAGAAAGTTAACTGCCTCTAATTTCCCACCCTAATCCCCCCCATTTAGTTTCTAATTTTTCCTGGCCACTTAGTGCCTTCTAGAATTCACACCAGATCATTACTTCACATGAGGTTGAACAAACAAACAAACAAACAAAAAAAAATCACCTATTTCAACATTGCAGTACGAAAGATGCAGCCCAGATTCTTAATATAGTCAGAGTAAGTGTGCAGAGAAGTTACATAAAAGCAATGCTGCTCCTCTTACCCAGATAATACAAAGAGCCACTGTCACTACCAAGCCATAAAGAAACAGGACTCCAGCACCTCCGATCAGTACCCACAACAGCTTAGGAGTTTCCTGATCAGGACAAAGATGTTTCTCTGAAAAACATAACAGAGTAGCTTAAAGGATACAGCAACAGCAGTTGAATACATTTCTGTCCTGAACGTAAGAAAAGAATTTGAAAGTACCAAATTATGCAAAACATTACCAGCTTAGATGATCTAGTCTTGCTCTTTGGGACTTATTCAAACCCACCACTGATCGAAGTCTTGTCAGCATACAAGATTGAGGCTGAAAACCATTGCTTTACAGTGGGACACTGGTGGCATTGCCATCACTGGATCTTGTTGAATATTGTATAATTCAAAATGGTGACTTTCGATGACTTTCACTTGACCCCATCTCCTTACCCCAACCAGAAGCTAACTGATCTAGACACTAAACTCTATCTTTGAAATAAGTAAAATGATATAAAATGTTTTCAAACCCTAAGAAAAATCAATCACCAGCTTAACATGGCAGTCAGAAAACTAGCCTGGAAAAATTAAAATAGATAACTATCTGGCTCCAACTCCAACAGCTTATCTGATGCGGAATGAGTCATATTATATCTTTGGTATCAAAAGGGGAATGGAAAAAAACATTCAGCTCTATTGAAACTATAGAAAATTATAGCTAGAAAGAATACTTTATAGCTCAATGAAATGTATAGACTTTGGGTCTGATTATTTTCGATGCATGACATTTTCTATTTGCAAGTTCTTTATAATTAAGTTGTAATAAAAATATATAAATGAAAAAATACCAATAAGTTTCTAGTCCATGAAGTTTTAATCCTGGCTTCACATTAGAATTTTCTGACAAGATCTGAAAACATTATCTAGTTCTCCTTTCTCAAGCTACATCGATTAAGTCAGAAGCTCGAAGTTGAGGGCAACAAGTTTTCAGTTTACCTACTTAGGTTTATAATATACAAAAAAAGCAGAGGTTGGAAGCTGCTGAGTACAGAATCATGGGTGTCTTTTCCAGTTCTTCCAAATGTGTACATGTGTACACACACACACACACAAAATACTAGCCTAAGTAACATATCATTTATATGGAAGAAATGGTTTGTTTTTGGCTTCCAAAATAGCATGTCTTTTTATCTTTTGACTTAATCCAATCAAAATATTTTTGTCTGAGCATTATTGATATTAGAAATCTGAATTCTCACATAAATTGCCACTCTCTTTACCAGAACACAAAAGTTACTCTGCCATATTAAGATAATAATTCTTTCCTTGTTAAGTACTTGATTTTTCTCAAGGACAGCTTTGTTTTGGCATAAAAGGAAATGCATCCATTACAATTGTGCTGGAACTGAATATAAAATGGAGCATATGTTTTCTTATTTATCACTCTCTTCGGGAAGGAAAAGCTGTAATAGAGGCATAGACACAAAAATCTATCTGACCTCTCTGTTTTATATGTTAATGCCAATAACAAAATCCTGAGTTTGAAAATCCTATTATTTTTCTTCCCAATGTTTAGACAGAACTTAATCTCAACATAAACACAGTACTACACTTATTGTTACTGATTCATGACTACTACTTAATCACATTGAGTTTGGGACTATTAAAAAGTTGGTAACTGCCCAGAGTTGGTGGCACACGCCTTTAATCCCAGCGCTCGGGAGGCAGAGGCAGGTGGATCTCTGTGAGTTCGAAGCCAGCCTGGTCTACAGAGCAAGATCCAGGACAGGCTCCAAAGCAATACAGAGAAACCCTGTCTCGGGGGAAAAAAAAAAGTTGGGTAACTTACCCAAGATCACAAATTTCATGTCCCCTAAATATCTATTTCAGCATCCTTTCTATGTTTTGAAAAATGGAAAGTTAATGGAGTAATAACAAGAATCATTGAAAAAGAGAATTACTTTGATGTCCAACCCATTCTTCCTGAGTTCTCATCCACCAGGCTATGCTTCATTTGAGAGGACTCTATGTTCAATTTTATACTTGATCTTAGCCAAAAGGCATAAAAATAAAAAAACAATCAACTCGTATTTTAATGACAAACTTTTTCCTGACACAACCTACTTGAATCAAGAATAGTCTTATAGGGTCTATTCCCATTGACTGTAACTTCTTCCCTCACTCTTCCACTTGTCAGTGAGGAAAGGTACAGGCATTCAAAATATGAGCTGGCATCATTTCTAAAGTAAAATGAAAACAGGTTTAGGCATGATTTATCTTTGAGTCTCAGATCATTGGTGAGTGTTCCAGCCTCTCCACTTACCCCAACCTCGACTTCAGCATTGTCAAACACAAGTACAGTTGCATGTTACCTTTCACGTGAATAATAGTTCCATTGCTCTTCTCATTGTCTAGGTAAGGAGGAGGATACATGACCTCAATTCTGCAGAAGTAAATATCTGTTTGGTTAACATGCAGATTCCGGAGGTAGAATGTCACTGTTTCATTGTCCAGATTCCCATCACAGTTGAAGCCCACGTTTGAGTGAAACTGAAGCTGATAGGAGAAATTCACATTCACAACACAGACTTCCACATCACTGTTCACTCCCTTGTACAGGGATGCCCGGAACTCCTTTGAGAGGAGGTTGTGAGAATACCTGCAGCTGAGGGTGACGTCATTGTTATCCACCACAAGCATGGGTGACTGCTTCACCAAAATCTTGTTTTCTGAGGGAGGAAAATTTAGTTAGGATATAAGAATAGTAATTCTGTTGTCCTGAAATCAAAAGAAATTAATTAGCCAACTGAACAGATCTCCAACAAAGTTAGTCTCTTGGTAGATAAAGATATAATAGCTCTTCTTGGAGGGATAACTATATCAAAAGTTTTAAAGTTTATATTTCAATAATGTTGGCCTCCTCTTTTGAATGGGAAAATGGAACGTGTTTCCACCTGGAAGGCAAAATGTGACCTTCTGTCAGCACTGAGCACCACAGCTATGCACTAGGAATTTTTGAATCAAATTGAGATTCCTAAAATGTTAATCAGGCCTTAGGTTGACTTCCTGATTAAGTGATATGCTTGGAAGCAGCCTGAAAGCCTGACACTGGTGCCCAGATGAATTTGCTTTCAATTATGTGACAGGTTTCTACAAAGGGATTTAAAAATTTCAAAACATTTGGCTTTGCTTATTGACCAAACCAGGAGTAGGATAAAGAGGTGAGGAAATCTGTAGCTCAAGTGTTGGCTTTAATTTCTCTTCCATAGAAGGTTCAGAGAACAGCCTCTCAAGAAACTTGCATGTTTGTTCTCTTAAATCAAGAAGAGTTCTATCTTTATGCAATAAACAATCAATGATCTGGATATCATCTAATTCAATTTCTCACTTCAAAAGCAAAGTGAAACCACATTATCAACTCCTTTAGGGAGGAGACCACATTGATATCATTTCCCACTGCATCCTGATTTCACAAAATATAGTCCCCAGAACACAAAAATATATTCCTTTAAAAAAAAAAGAAATTATTACAGTGTGTGTGTGTGTGTGACAGTATAAGTGGAGATCAAAGGGCAACTTGCAGGAGCTGGTTCTCTCATTCTACCTAGGGATCAGGCTTGGCAACAGGTGCCTACCATGTCTTTAGCTCTGCATTCTTTTTCTAAAGAAGCAAGCAAACAAACAAAACAAAAAAGCAAAAACAAAAAAAAACAGGGTCTCACTCTGTAGCCTTGGCTGACTTAGAACTCACTATGTAGATCAGACTAGCCTAGAAATCACAAACTCTCTTAACTCTGCCTCCTGAGAGCTGTAATTAACAGCGTGGGTCACCATGCCTATATATCCTTGGGGGGTGGGGGGAATGACTGAATGAGGTCTAGAAATATGAATGGTTAATCTACAGTCATTGAAGAAATGGTGAATAAAATCAGAACTGAAACCAAATGCCACACCATATAAATATCTGACCGCTTAAGCATGGAGAATCAACCTCACAGATCAAAGACCCTGCAACCTTTTTCTGAAACATAACCTCAATATTTTAGAAGTAAACAAATTGCTATTTGTCTGTGAAAGACATTTAATACAAACAAAATAAATTCTTTCTGGGGGGGCATGCTAATAATTGCCCATTTATGATTTTGGGGTTGTGAGCCTAGCCTTAACAGCTGAGCAATCTCTTCAACCCCATTTATAATTTTTAAAAAGTTATTTGTACCAAAGGCCAGCTAGAATCTGAAGTTGTTAAAAAAAATTTGTCATTTAACCTGGGATTGAATTCATGGACACAGGTGGGTTGTTTTGTTGTTGTTGTTGTTTTGTGGTTTTTGTTATTTGATTGTTTGTTGTTTTGAGTAGAAGGTAGCTACACAGAATTAAATCTCTGTTTTTGTCTTCTATATAATTATCAGCAATTATATACATCAAGAACCTTAAAAGAAAACCCACATCCATACCTCTTACTTCCAGAAATTCTGATATATTTAGTATAAATTAAGATGGGGTTAGTGTTGATACTGGGGTTTGAAATAACCTCACAGAAGTGTAATTCCCACACCATAAAGTTCTCCTTTTAAAGAGTACTACTCTGGAAGTTGTGAGTATCCTGCATCTGTTTGTAAAATATTTTCATTACATGAAAAGCAAACTTCATGCTCATTAGCTATCACTTCCCATCATTCTCTCTCCAGGCTCTGGCAACCACTTACCTACTCCTTATCTCTATTTGCCCATTCAAGACATTTCACATGAATGGAATCGTAGTGTGTGTGTTATTTTGTATTTGGCTTCTTTCATTTAGCAATTTTCAAGTTTCATCCATGTTGTAATAAAGTTTCAGAACTTTGTTCGATGACTAGCTAATATTCTATTGTGTAAATATAGTACATTTTGTTTTTCCACTCAACACGGACTTTTGTAAACAACACTAACTATGAACATCTGTATAGGAGTTGAGAGGGAGGAGCTATAAGGGAAAGGAGAAGCTCCAGCTTCCAGACTCCAATGTTCATTTAGTGATTCCTTTCTGATTCAGCAGGTGGCATCTTCCCAAGACTCCACATCACAGAAAACTGATTTCCTAACATGAATTCCTTGAGCAGTTCACAGTCTAGTAAGGAAGAAAAATGTATAAACAGACAGCTAATTTTGAGATAGTGGACAGTGACCTGCAGATTCTTGGAGCAATTGAAGAACCAATCACAGATTCCCTACACATGAAGACTGTTGGTCTGAGAGGTAAAGAATGATTCCACATTGCTTGACAAATGTTCATCAGGTAAAAAAGTTAGCCCAGATAAGATGTGTCCTTAAGGAGGGGGGATGAGGTAAGTGTGTGCAAGTTGAGACTAAAAGTAAGTTGGTGACATGAGGAGGAGAAAAGAAAAAAACAGCCAAGAAAATAGGAATTGAGAATGAGTGTGACACTCTGGAGGGAATTACAGCTACCTCCATTCTTTCTGACCAAGGGTTAGGAAAGACAAGACTGGAAAAGCCAGCGCTGCTCACCACATCAGAGACCCTGGTCCCTCTCCTGCCAGTGATGGAGAGCTAGCGAAGGCTTAAAAGATGTGCCCAACTTTTTTATTGATGTAGGTAACTTTAGCAAACAGGGAAGTGGTACTTTGGAGCGCACAAGAGTGGAGGCGTGTAGAGTAGGCTAGATTCAGCTGTCTTCTGGGCCAGAGGTGAAGTGAGAAATGTTTACAGGCCAACGCTTACACAACTTGACAGTGATTTAGGTGTGGTTAAAGAGAAAAGGAAGAGTTTAAAGTGACTTCCTCAGCCACACATACCAAGGAACAAGTAGCTGTTTTTCTTTTTGCCCACACCTCTTCTTCACTCATTTATACTTCATTGCATTGCCAAAATAGACAGATCCAAAGCCAAAGTCAAGTTTGAACATCTGGGCTACAAAGAAGACAGGTTTGCAGCCTGGGAGCTGGGGGGGTCACAACGCAGGATGGAAACTTACAGAAGGAAGAGGTAGCAGTCATACTCTGAAACGGTTTTTCTTCACAAGCAGTAATATAAAAACTAGAAGGTAGCTTTTTCTTCTTCCCATCATGAGGCCTCTGAGCTCAAGCCTCAGCGTGGTTGGGGTTGTCCGATTTCTTCTGAACCCATTTGACCTCCGGTCACAAATTGAGAACGTTCTCACCAAAAACTCAACGGCCCCTATGTCAAGACTTCTGTTACATGTCACCATTGTAGTGACACAGCCAGCCACTGAGCAAAGAAAGGGAAAATACTTATTTTCTGACTGTGCCAGAATTTTGGGGGAAAGAGTTTGAAAACAACTATGAAAAGATGGACAATTTATCTGTCGATATTTACTCTTCTGTGTCAACAGATAATTTTTAAATTTGCTGATGATTAAAGAGGGATGCTATATTTGAGGTAGCTTCTTGTTTTGTGCTGATATGTGTCTAACAGCTTCCTAGCTTAGAATTCAAGCTGATAAAACCTCTTTTTTAATGTTAATGCCCTTTCCAGGATTTGTTCCCACTGTAATTTATTCCAGTGATTCAAAAAAGTCCACATGAAAAGCGCTATTTGATAGGACTTCAAAATCTACATCTGCTCAGGAGACACAGTAAGTAAAATAAATTTATGCCTGGTATTAGAGAAAGATTATAGTTATCCTAAATGATATTGACATACAGTTATCCTAAATGTGTGATCATTGTGGTTTCTGGAACATATGATACTTCTAGCTTCTTTAAATTTCCCTTAAAACTGGGCATATGTGAGAAGACACACCCCTCACTCTATGGCAGTAGAGTACAAATATACAGATAAATCAAAGCAAATGGCAGTGGTCATCTTGGCTATGTACTTTGGTGTTTTGTTTTGTTGTTGTTGTTTGTTTGTCAGGGAACCTGTGGTATTTCAAATAATTTAAGGGAATACTATAAAATTCAAGGACATTCCTAGGTTTAGAACAGCAGTTCTCAACCTGTGGGTCCAGACCCATTTGGGATTGAATATCAGATATCCTGCATATCAGATATTTACATTACAATTCATAACAGCAGCAGAATTATAGTTATGAAGTAGCAATGAAAATAATTTTATGGTGGGAGTCCCAAGAACCTAAGGAACTGCATTAAAGGATCACGGCCTTAGGAAGATTGAGAACCACTGGAACTAAGAGATGCATTCAGCTTTCCTATACTAGTTTCTGTTTGAAGTTGTTCTGTTTTCCAAATCATGCTAGGAATGACCTTTCTTTCCCACTGCAAATACTTGATTTGATTTTCCTTCTTGTGGGTAGTTTATAGGGTATACCTACTAGAAACATTGATAGCCTCCTAACTGCATTTGCAGTAAAAGATGTCTAAAAAAAAAGATGGTCTTGGCTGGTGTGTCTCTGCTGATCGGCAGGTTGTTTTGATGATGAATTTAGTGCTTTGCTTTTCAAAGCCTGTCCTAGCAGCTAAACGAGCTAAAGGTGTGGAGACAGGAAGCAGTAACCTCAAAACTCTTTCCCTCACAACTCCTGCTCGACAACAGGCAACATGAAGAGTAAGATCAGAGATGAGAAGGCACTTATCTGCAGCCCATGGGCAAGGCTGTGAGAGCCAGATTTCCCACCGATAGTCTATGAAACTTGTGGTAGAACCGGCTTCTGGAAGTTTGAAAATTATTTGTGTTTCCAAGAGAACTGGGTGCTTACAGAAGCAACGTTTTTCCTTCTCATCAGTTCTAAGTGGGTCAGTTACTATAT